CAAAGTCCATTTAAAAACCATCAAGAAAACGGTCAATAAGTTTTTAAAAAAGAGGGAACAGTAGAGAGGGAATCGTTAAATTTAAGTATTGCATTAATATTTAAGCGTACCTTTTAAAAATTTCAACGATAATTCTTCTGCCGTGACTTAATTTAAAAACAATTTGATGTACGTAGATCTTTGCTTTCCTTACAAACAATTATTTTTATTTCATGTGTGGCTTTCACTGGATTTCGCCATTATTTTCAATTATTCCCAAAAATCCATTCAAGAAACATCAAGAGAACGATAAGTTTAAAAAGCGGGAACAATAGAGAGGAAAACGAGATCAGGAGGTCACAACAAGAAGATGGATCATCATTTCAACTTAGAACTAAATACATTCTTATTGTTCAAAATAGAGTCCAATGGTGTTATAAAACCTCAGATAACCCTAGTAAGATATCTTTAAGCATCTCTAAGATACAACAGTTCAAAGCTTAATCTAACAATTGAAGAGCGTCATATTCTATTTTTCTCCTGGCTCTCAACCAATCAAAAACTCATTTTAAACCAAAACGAGGCTTATTGAGTTATTAGCGTGAAGAAAAAAAAATCATTATTCAGCTGTTCTTTAAAATTATGATGGTTTTTAGCCTTTAGAAATTATGTATACGGAGCAAGGACAAAAGTCTCGTGAGGCGACATGAATCTATCCTCGCCACTATTAAGTGTCGGAAGATGGCATGGTTTGGCCACGTTACAAGACATTAACAACCTCTGCAAGGCAATCATGGAAAACACTATTGAAGGCGGACACGGAGATGACAAGAGCTGGTCCTGACAGCATCAAAGAGTGGACAGACATGAGGCTAAATGTGTAGAAAAAGTTTCTACCATCAGTAATTATACATTCCTATTGTTCAAAATAGAGTCCAATAGTGTTATAAAAACCTCAGATAACCCCAGTAAGATATGTTTAATCATTTTTAAGATACAATAGTTCAAAGCTTAATCTAATAATTGTAGAATTTTGCTCTTACACGATTTGGACAATTTTACAACCGGTATATGCATCTTTATTTTTACTTTTAACAATTGTTGTTATTATTGTTGGCGTTTGTTTAAAATCGCAGCAAATTTTATTGGAGACGATACGAAAGCACCATTTGCCGATGATCAATGCACTGAGGTGACTCTTTTTCATGATGATTCAAGAACTCTTCGACGTATAAGTGCAATCCCAAGGAGTGCAGTTTTCTGCGAGTGTCCAATTCAGTTTGAACACTCTTTTTAAACTATATTAGTTTTCATCTTATGTCAACTACACTTTTTTCTCTCAGGCACGGAATATCTAGGCTAATAAAAGGGGGAGGAATGTCATTTCAGTGTTTCATCATTTCATATTCTCCAATAAATTTTAATCAACTTTAATCTGTTGTCAAAGTTTCTACCATCAGTGGCAAACAATTTCGTTCGGGACATCAAAGGATGTAATTCGTGAGCAATTCGGAAAAATTTCGCGTTAGTGACAATAGCTTAGAACAACCGCCAAGTCACACAAGCAACAAAAGCTCAAACCATTCACCAGTCACGAGGCCAGGCTAAGAAAGAAACGGTCTATACAGTAATTTAATTTCGCGTTATATCAAGTCTACTCTGTATATCTCGAAAGGTCTCGTGTGACTTTATTGTCTTTAAATATTTTAACTGAAGTGGGCGGCCATTTTCCTTTCTGGGTATTTTACGTGTAAGGCATGTGTGAAATCTTTACGTCGATAACTCATTTTGTCTTTTAATCTTTTTCAGTACGAGGGTGGTCTTTCGTTTCCACTATAGCCAGAACTCCCGAGAGCCACTACTGAGAGGTTGACTGTTTCTTCTACATTTAGAATCCCCCCACCACCACCACCACCACCACACTACGATAGAAACAGTCAATGGACTGATGATGATGAAAAAGAAAATGAAATATTCAAGAACAGACTGAGATAGATACATAAATAGATATGAGCAGACTGATAGATAGATAGATAGATAAAGAGCGGACGGACAGGGATTTTCTAAGCACAACTTAGATGTGGCACAAGGCCGAAAGTATGGGGCACCCAGTGAGGATCGAACTCACTACTCAGTTGTAATTGATCTAGCAAGACAAGCTTTCTAACCCTTACGCCACGTGGAGGTGCCCAAGAGCGGACGGACGGACGGACATGCAGCTAAATGTGTAGAAAGTTTCTACCATCAGTGGCAAACAATTTCGTTCGGGACATCAAAGGATACAATTCATGAGCAATTCGGAACAATTTCGCGTTAGTGACAATAGCTTAGAACTACCGCCAAGTCACACCAGCAACAAAAGCTCAAACCTTTCACCAGTCACGAGGCCAGACTAAGAAACAAACGATGTCCGCAGTAATTTAATTTCGCGTTATATAACTCGAAAAGTCTCGCCTGTCTTTAAACATTTTGACTCAGAGGGCGACCATTTTTCTTTCTGGATATTTTACGTGCAGGGCATGCGTGAACTCTTTACATCGATAAGTCATTTTGATTTTTAATCTTTTTCAGTGTGGGGGTGGTCTTTCGTTTCTATTACATTCATTTAATAAGCAGCAAATGTTAATATGTATCAGGTTAATGGAAGAAAATGAAATCCATAACTTGATGCAAACGCATTGTGTACATATTAGTGCATGTGTTTTGGGTATATCCCTGGGTGCCTTGTCTGCATATACCTGGATGTGAATCATTCAAGGTAACAGTACCAACTGACTTGGTGCAGGGGTATTGGACTTGAATATAATATCTCAAGTGTTTTCATAGATCGACCGCATGAATTTAAGCTACTAGACTGGCAAATAGATATCGGTTGAGAAAAGATATTTGGCCTTACTTCCGCTGCATCACTGCGTATGAGCCCAAATCGGAACTGGTGATAGCATAACCAGGAAATGCATACGGCGGATAAAATAAACAAATCGTACGGGTGTCTCGAGCCTAGAATAAACTGGGTGCACAGGTGTCCTGAGCGGAAATAAATTTGTGCTTGTGTGGGCGCATGACGGAAGAGGCGTGACCACACGAAGTTGCGTAGGCGATATTATCGAAAGAAGGTGTTGCGTAGGTGTCCAAATGTTATTTAACCGGTCCGATTCTTGATCTGGACAAAGAGGCTGGCTAGAGGTTCGGCGAAGATTTGTTTCCGTCAATTCCTGTGGGCACAATCTTAACCTTTGGGATTCCCCCTCACTTTACCCATTCACCGCAACTAGAACAATAAAGATATTTATATATTTTTGTATATTTGGGTTCGACGCCTCATTTAATCCCAGTAGCAATATACTACACTAGGTCTTATCATGTTACTGTTGAACTAGCTAGATGCAACCGTAAGTTCTATTCTAATAGTTTCTTTATTCACATTTCTCACCCGTGGAACTCTCTTGCCGTTTCTTGCTTTCCTGCTATCTACAAAATTTAAATGCATCACGAATCGCCATTTTTCTGAATACTGTTGTTTTATTGTTCTTTCTCCTCGGTAAGTTCTTCTCGTTCTGTTTCCCGCTTAGTAACCCACTTGTGTATTAGAGGCATTATCGCCTTGCTTGGGGTGAAATGATTAAAAAATTTTTTTTTCAATACGTTACAGTCATGTTTCGTTTGGCTTGCTTTGTTTTACCGCCAGTGGGTTATTTAATGCCGACAAAAGTTTTATTGCTGGTAATATTTTTCTTCCAAAAATCTATTTCTGGTAATATTTTTTTTTCGAAAATGTAGTGCTGGTAATAATTTTTACGAAAAAATATTTCTGGTATTAAAACCTATTTTTACACGTTCATAGTGTTTTGACCCCAGTTTAGGGGTTAGCTATTTGCCCATGGCTGGGACCCTAACAGGTGCTACCACCCCGGATCAGAGTGTACCCTGGAACACCAGCAATTAAGAGGTGGTTCCATGCTCCTCAAAACCTCCTAATCACAGACCTTGCTGTTGGACGTAGTTCATCGCCATACCCAGGTCGCGGATATAGTTTATCTTCATACCCTAGACGACAAGTATCTGTCTATGATATTAGGTTGGTGCAAAAATAATGACGTAATAATGTCGTTTTTTGACGTTAAAAAATACGTCAAAAACGACATTATTACGTCGTTATTTTTGCACCAACCTAATAACTATAACATTTACATTGAGGGTCGAGGAAATTTAAAATAAAATATTACGCCCAAGCCCCCGGCGGGTACCTTTTTACTCGGCAGTACCTCTCCTTCGGGGGGGCTTAGTTTATTGCCAGGTGTCCCCAAAACGAGAAGAACCGAAGTGGCTTGGACAATTTTTTCACGGTTTTGCCGTCAAACCCACTTTAAACTGACCTTGCGTCGCATTCGTTGCGACGTGTGTGCACTGAAAAGTACCCTTGTTGATGGTGCAGCTATGGGGTCGCTTCTAGGTCCCACTTTAACAAATTATTTTCTTATAACGCGAAATGTTTAATAATTTTGCCAAATCTATGTTCGATATATTGAGTATATAGTCATATTAACGAAAAACTGAAATCATGAAAAGCAAAAAAAAAAAAAAAAATGCTTAATAAAAACCCCAAAACAACAAAAAAAGAAACATGTCAATCCCATTTCTTGAACATCTCATGGGGCAGGTAAAATATGGATGACCCAAAATACAAAACCCACAATGGTAAAAAAATATATTCCCAACATTAAGACACCATCTGATGACAGGCAACGCTCTTTTGGTCAAATATTCCAAACACGGGTCTAGTCAGTCGGCATTAATTTCATTGCCGTTAAACATGTCAGTGAAAAATCTTCCAACGTTCAAAATATTTTAAGTAGCGTACGAATCCTTCACAAAACAAACTCAGTTGACACCAAATGTTGCGAGACAACGTTTTGGTCTTAAAAGAAAACATTTCAAATATGAATGCAAATATCACTTAAATCAAACACATGTTACCGCGGGATCTTTAAGTGCTATGCTACTTCAGAACGTAGGCGATC